TCATTGAAGTAGACGTTGATGCCTGGGTTGTGGGTTCAAACACAAAGCTAAACCCTAAACCTCAACTTTAGAAAGACCATCCTAAAATAGCCTTAGCTCCCAAGCCTTTGTCATAAACATCGCAGAGGGAACCACCCCATTACAGAATACAGTAGGATAAGACAACCTTCGGAGTAACTTCTAACCAAACGAAAGAATACAGGGGAGATCCTACTACCCTGCAGCTGTAAGTCTTAACCATTACATACACCTTCCGACCGCATTCAAGGGCTACCCAGAACACTGCAAGGGTCTTGATAGTTAGTTGCAGTAGGGTTTGGGGATGTCTTGTATCCTAAGTAGGGACTAAAATGTAAAGGAATACCAAAAATACTAATGATTCTGGAGCTTGAGGGAATTATCATTAGTAACGAATCAACCTCTATGATATCTCTATCCGGCTCGCTTGGCAGCGCAGCTCCTCGAACCCTTAAGCTCAAAGGCCCTAAACCCTAAGCCCTAAGACCAAAACTTAGGGTCTAGGGCTCAGGGCACTAAGCCCTAAACCCTGAACCGGGGTTTGAAGACTTACGGCTAGAATGCTTTAAGCGGCTTACCCGACCAGAACCTGTCGTGGTTATGGCTGGCCCTTGGCTTAGGGCTGGTAGGGTTTGGGGGTGTATCGCTTTAGGAGGGTTCGGGGCTTGAGTGGTTTTAAGCGTTTTTAAGGCTTTGGGCTCAAGCCTTTGGCCGGAGGTCGAAAGCCTACATGGCGACGAACCCCTGAAAGCTTAAACCTTAATGCTCGAAATCCTGCGTGCCTGTAACCCTAAACCCTAAACCTTCCCACACACGGAACTAATCAGAAACCGAAAAAAGGGGCCATAATTAAGGGTTTCGCAAATTGGCACAGCACCCTCATACCCCAGAAATCACGGCTTGAAGACTCGAAAGCCTATTCAGACCAAGTGAATAAGCGTAAGGTCTGACCCTGAGTAGACGCTTCGTCTTACCCACCTTACACCTAGACCCCAAAGGACCACAGCATTCCAAAAGGCCGGATGACCCAAACGGTTTCCTAAACCCGAACCCTGGACACCGAGCCGCAAAGAAAACGCTCGCTTAAAACACAAACCGAAGCCCTAAACCTCAAAACGCCAGAACCCTACACCCCCAAAGCCTGAGCACCCTAAATCCCTAAACGCCTAAACCCAAAACGCCAGGGCCAGAACCCTACAACCCAAACCCTGAGCACCCTAAACCCTAAATCCCTAAACCAAATAACACTAAAGCCTAAACCCAAAAACCCTAAACCCGAAATCCCTAAAATCCCTAAAGCCCCTTGAACCCTAAACCCTAAACCCTAAATCCCTAACCCTATAACCCCTTGAACCCTAAACCCTAAACCCAAAAAACCCCGAACGAGTGGCGCTCGAGCTGGAGGTCCGAATCACCGTGGTACCTGGGCCGGAACTATAGGGTCGGGGGTTTGGGGGGGTTTGGGGTTTAGGGTTTAGGGTTCAAGTTTCAGGTTTAGGGTTTCGGGTTTAGAGTTGAGGGTTCAAGTTTCAGGTTTAGGGTTTCGGGTTTAGGGTTTAGGGTTCAAGTTTCAGGTTTAGGGTTTAGGGTCTTCAGGTTCGGGTTCAGGGTTTGAGTTTCAGGTTTCGGGTCAAGGGTTTAAGTTTCAGGGGTCGGGTTTAGGGACTTCGGGTCTAGGGTTTAGGGGTTCCTTTAAAGGGTACTATAGGGATCCCAGGCTTCCTTTAAAGGGTACTATAGGGTTTAGGGTTTAGGGTTTAGAGGTTGAGGGGTTTAGAGGTTAAGGGGTTTGTGGGGATTCAAAAGCTGAATGTGCGGGGCCTAGGGATTTAGGGAGGTTGTACGATCACTTCTGGTAGGCAGTAGGACATGAAGAAGCAGAATCAGCTCGCACAGTCAGCAACTATAGTAGTAAGTATAGATTGCATTGGTCGCAACTTTAAGCCACTTGACTTAGCAACAGGTAAATGAGTTGCAGTACCGGTGCTGGTGGTAGGGTCAAGACATGTGGGTGACAGTAGGTGTACAAGGCGGAGGAGTAGCAGCAGCAGCAGCAGCAACAACAACAACAACAGCAGCCCCAGCAGGAGCAGGAGGACCAGTGAGGACGCATAGGAAGGGCAGCCGTGGTGTAGTGGCAGCAACAGTTTTTGTAGCTGTCGTAACAGAGATTTCCAACCTCAGCCCAGATGCTCGAACTTATGCTCTCAAGCAACACCGCTGTATTCTGCGCCCTTAACGCTAAACTCCCTCAGGTAAGATGGAATTGTTCTGGACTGGGGCTGTTTTGCATGGCACCTGAGCGAATGGGAGCTTGCCCGCCCAAGACGTGCTCCCCCAAGCATGGATCCGCTTTGCAGTATCCCCGCAACGTGTCCAGAACCCTAAACCCTAAACCCTAAACCGTGCCCGTTAATGGAGCCCTTAACAGGATAACGGACAGGTAAAACCCAGAGCTGAAGCCTTCGATCAAAAGCCCTGAAACCTCAACTCTTGACCCGAAAACTGAAACAGAACCCACTATACTGAACTTAGACCCCTAGCAAAAAATATAATTTTAGCTGCTTCTTAAGGGTTTATAGTAGCCAAAGATTTAAAAATATTTCTAAGTACCCCCAAGCCCAAGGCACGTTCCGGTTGGGTCGATGCCGTGCTCGTCAGCGATGACCTCCCAGAACTTGGCGCCGATCTGGTTGCCGCACCTTGTCATCTAAGCAACTTTCACTGTAATCGTTTGGAGAGCTTCTATGGTTTGAGAAAGTCTTATTCTGATGGGATACGGTTGATAACAAGGTTTTACAAGTGGAGGGCTCAGGGTTTAGGACTGCAGGCACTTTTACTGTTCGTTTTGCACTCTAAATTGTGATGTGTTCATGGTTGCCAAAGCAACAATATTACCACGATGCTGCGCTGGTAAGGAACTGTTGCACTTCTCATTCATACTGTAAACTATGAACAGCCATTTCTGTTATGACCAGGTCTTCTTCTTATTGAAAATGGGGTGAGAACTACCAGTTTCGGGTCAAGGCGATACTCTCGATTGTTGTTTTTCTTTCTGCTCCTTGAACGCCATGCTTTCACAACTGTTCAACTCTTTCCCTGCTTTCCCATCTGAGTCGCAGGATTGCCGGGTTTCAAAAACGACAGCATCATGCCCCGAGTCTCAACCAAGTCATATTCACCCTCAAGGGTTTAGGGTTTACGGCCCAGGCTTAGGGTTTGGGTTTAGGGTTCCGGTTTAGCCCCAAACTCAGTTACGGCAGCTCTGTCCGTAGTGGACAACTTCATCCGAACAGCGTAAACTGAGTCATAATTAACTTTAAGCCGTAAACCGAGTAGTGACGGCGTGAACCCTTAACCCCTAACCCTTGTTAACCCTACACTCGCATAAGGACCGTAGTCTTCGCCCCGGCTTAATTAAGCACAGAAGCCTAGCGATGCCAAACTGCCCGAGACCGCCACAGCTGAACTAGTAAAGACAGAATAGATACCTTGCATCATGCTAATGTGGGGACCTTAATAATTGAAATGAGGTTTTGGGCTCCTTTATACTACAGTTATAATTAGGAACCCTGAGGAATTATTCAGGCTTCTATATGAGGACGCTAGGGTTCCTCGTTCGATCTTGCTGTGCATTCCCAACTTTAAGGGTTTCTGGAATCTCGGGGTAGCGTCAGGGTTTAGGGTTTAGGGTAATTATGCAAGCGCGTTTGGGGCTCAAAGCTTAGCTAGCCGGCAGAGCACGACCAAACCGATAAAAACAAAAACAAAACACCTGAAACCATGAAGACTCTAGCCCCAAAGAGGGAACCCTGTATATGCAACAAAAACGAGGAAAGCCTTCTCACAACGGACACTGGTGTAAGGAACCCCTAACTTAACCCTTAACCTACCACCCCCCGCCCAAACATCCTACCACGACAAACATCAAGACCGCATCTTTCAACTTTGATGGTTATTAGGGCTTAGGGCTTAGGCTTCTCAAGAAAGGAATCAAGTGGCTATGATTACTGATCATTCAGACCTCGATACAACCCTAAACCCAAACCCTAAAC